ATAAAGGGCAGCTTGGTGTCGAGCTTGACCCCGATCGTACTGAGCGGGCCAGGCCAGAACGGGTTGATATTGATCTCAGTTGAATGTGTGAATTTAAAGGGAAAAAAATGAGAACGTTTATTTATCGTTGTACATTTTCTGCATATTCTCGTGTTCGTGTTTATAGGGTGTTGTGTAAATAGAAGAACACAGGGACCTGTGAATAAAGTGTAGGGATTTAGGAGCAGCAGAAATTAATTAACTTCTTTAAAAGTTCTTTTAGCTCTTGGCCAGTAAATAGGGGTTTGATAAGTTTAAGGTTGACATGGCTGAAAAGGTTTTAGCCATGTGAAGATGACCTGATGAATGGTTTGATGATGGATTCTGACTTTTTTTTTTTTTTTTTTTAAGTTTGTTCATAAGTTTGATTCTTAAAGTTAAAGCTTTGCAGTTATTTTCAGTTTCCCATTTGTTCTCTTTTTCATTTTGTTGACTTATTATTTTTTGTGAGACAATACAACAGCTAGGGGGGGTACAGTTTCATTCTCACACAGAGTCTTGCCATTAAAGCAATTTCATCATGTGGAAGAAACCCTACCAATTTTGGTTAAAATAGAAATAATAACCCACCGAAATACAAATTTTGGTTTGGTTCTTTTTATGAATAGAAATGGTTTTCGAACTGTGCTTTTAATTTTTAAAAACCAAACTAACCGAATCGACTAATTTGTAGATTGTTCAAATAATTTTGAAGAAAAATTGTACAAAATTTGTAGAAGCCACATGTAAAGTCTGAAAATGCAGCAAGCTTATAGTTTTCAGGCATTTGTGTTCCTGTTAGGGAAAAGGTAAAGCTAGAAATTAACTCATCTGCATTTCGAGGAAATTGATAATTGTTCAGACTGCATATTGTATTTACAAGACATTAGTTAAAGAAGCTCGAGCACATGATAATCAAACCGATTGAATGTCTAGACAACATCATGTTCAATCTTATGTACAAACAACTCAAGCTTCTTCAACTGTAAATGAACCGCATTCTCTTCCTAATCACATCAATACATACAAGTTAATTTTTATTGTATGTAACATCATTTTCCCACAATATTCTGTGTCTAGCGATCGTTTTAAAATGAACATTTCAGTGAATCACAATAAACTTATTTATCTTGTTGAAGAATACAGCTAGAAGATATATAAAGTCTAGCTAAATTGATTAAAAGACGTGTACCAATTACCAAAGCAGTAATGCATTCATTTTTCAAGTTCAATAACAAGCATTAACATCCCACATCAGAAAAAAGAAACAATCCATTCAATTAATTCATACAATAATCCTCAAAATTCAAACTCACTGCTGATAACAGAAATTTGATTCAAAACAAAATAGACCAACCATCTCAAGCTCAAGCTTTCCTAGGTTTGCTTGCTGCCAATTGTGACTCCGGCTGCAAAATAAACAGGAAAAGAAGCAATTCATGAACCAGGGAATTTAAAGTATCAGAATTTGAAGACATAATACATATTATTTGACAAACTGAAACCAAAACCATTAAAACAATCGAAGTTACCTCTTTCTTGACAGGCTCTTCCTTCTCAGATAGAATCAACTCGATGTGACAGGGGGATGACATGTAAGCTGAAAGGAATTTCCACATGTTAGCAGCTCAAAATTTTCATTAAAATAGCAAGATATAACATGTCAAATTTAACATCACAACACACAGAACAAGACATTAGCTAT